ACACAGTCTGCTGAACATAATACTACACAAACATTAGATGTTGCCATGGTTTAATTGCACATAACATGGAAACATTCACAGTGCAAATAGGGAGGAAAAAGTATGTGAACCTTTGGACTTAATAACTGGTTGACCCTCCTTTGGCAGCAATAACCTCAACCAAACGTTTCCTGTAGTTGCAGATCAGACCTGCACAACGATCTGGAGTCATTTTGGACCACTCCTCTTCACAAAACTGTTTCAGTGTAGCAATATTCTTGGGATGTCTGGTGTGAATCGCTCTCTTAAGGTCATGCCACAGCATTTCAATGGGGTTGAGGTCAGGACTCTGACTGGGCCACTCCAGAAGGCGTATTCTGTGCTGTTGCAGCCATTGTTTTGTTGAATGACTTGTATGCTTTGGGTCATTGTCCTGTTGCATCACCCATCCTCTGCGGAGCTTCAGTTGGCGGACAGATGGTCATACGTTTTCCTGCAAAATGTCTTGATAAACTCTGGAATTCATTTTCCCATCAATGACAGCAATCCCTCCAGGCCCTGAGGCAGCAAAGCAGCCCCAAACCATGATGCTCCCTCCGCCATGTTTCACAGTGGGGATGAGGTTTTGATGTTGGTGTGCTGTGCCTTTTTTTTTTTTCTCCACACATAGTGTTGTGTGTTCTTCCCAAACAACTCAATCTTGGTTTCATCTGTCCACAGTATATTTTGCCAGTAGTGCTGTGGAACATCCAGGTGCTCTTTTGCAAACTTCAAACGTGCTGCAATCTTCTTTTTGGACAGCAATGGCTTCCTCCGTGGTGTCCTCCCATGTACTCCATTCTTGTTTAATGTTTTCTTTATTGTAGATGTGTCAACAAAAATGTTAGCATGTGCCAGAGATTTCTGTAGGTCTTTAGCTGACACTCTGGGATTCTTATTTACCTCATGCAGCATTCTGCGCTGTGCTCTTGCAGTCATTTTTACAGGACGCCCCCACGCCTAGGGAGAGTAGCAACAGTGCTAAACTTTCTCCATTTGTAGACAGTCTGTCTTACCGTGGACACATGAACATCAAGGCTTTTGGAGATACTTTTGTAACCCTTTCCAGCTTCATGCAAGTCAGTCAACAATTCTTGATGGTAGGTCTTCTGAGAGCTCTTTTCTGCGAGGCATGGTTCACATCAGACAGTGCTTCTTGAAACCAGTAAACCCAAAACAGGTGTGTGTTTTTTAAGGGCAGGACAGCTGTCAGCAACACATCCAATATCATCACACTGATTGGAGTCAAGGTTGGCTCACTCCTGGCTCCAATTAGCTCTGGGAGAAGTCAATAAGCTAGGGCCTCACATACTTTTTCCTCCCTGCACTGGGAATGTTTACATGTTATGTGCAATTAAACCATGGCAACATCTAATGTTTGTGTAGTATTATGTTCAGCAGACTGTGTTCTTCTATTGTTGTGACTTAGATGATGTACAGAACACATTTTATGCCCAATTCATGCAAAAACTCCATGTAATCCCAAGGGATTCACATACTTTTTCCTCCCTGCACTGTGAATGTTTACATGTTATGTGCAATTAAACCATGGCAACATCTAATGTTTGTGTAGTATTATGTTCAGCAGACTGTGTTCTTCTATTGTTGTGACTTAGATGACGTTCAGAGCACATTTTATGCCCAATTCATGCAAAACTCCACGTGATCCCAAGGGGTTCACATACTTTTTCTTGCAACTGTATATAGACATTATACCGTACATATCATACACACATATACAGACATTATACCGTACATATCATACACATATACAGACATTATACCGTACATATCATACATGTATACAGACATTATACCGTACATATCATAAACATATACAGACATTATACCGTACATATCATACACATATATAGACATTATACCGTACATATCATACACATATATAGACATTATACCGTACATATCATACACATATATAGACATTATACCGTACATATCATACACATATACAGACATTATACCGTACATATCATACACATATATAGACATTATACCGTACATATCATACACATATATAGACATTACATTGTACATAACATACACATATACAGACATTAGACATGTTGAAGCTACTAGGAGAAGTGTGTTGTGTGTGGGGATTGGGGGATGAGTTCCTGTGGTCGGGTAATGTATGTTGTGTGACGTGTTCCCTGCAGGATGCGGAGTTTGTACACGCTGCTGTCAGATCTATCTGTGCGATGGGACTTCGCTTCCTGCGGGGACATTTCCACACTTTCCAGGCAGAAGATCAGAGATAGGTAGAGATGGCTCGTCATGTATGGGGCATGATGATCCTAGGCATCCCGAGCAACATACAGAACTAAATGGTGATCTCCCCCCCTCTTCCTCAGTCCTTGGTTCTCTATAGGACCGGCTGTCCTCTGGAATCAGATCCCTCCTTCCTCTGTCCTCTCTGAGGTCTAGGAGACTATAAATAACTACAAAGTAACAATTGTTTTTCTTTTAGTTTCAGATGGAATATGGAAGAGTTCCCAAAATGCATGAGATCCCAGGAAGACAATCAGCACCGACCCATTAACCACTTCCAGTCCGGACACTTCCCCCCCCTTCCAGTCCGGACACTTTCACCCCCCTTCCAGTCCGGACACTTTCCCCTCCTTCCAGTCCGGACACTTTCACCCCCCTTCCAGTCCGGACACTTTCCCCTCCTTCCAGTCCGGACACTTTCACCCCCTTCCAGTCCGAACACTTTCACCCCCTTCCAGTCCAGGGCAATTTTCAGCCTTCAGCGCTATCACACTTTGAATGACAATTGCGCGGTCATGCAACACTGTACCCATATGCATTTTTTAGCATTTTTTTGAGACAGATACAACTTTATTTTGGTGGTATTTATTCACTGCTGGGATTTTTTATTTTTATTTGCTATGTAAAAAGTTTGAAAAAAAGTGTTTTTCTTATAAAATTTTGCAAATAAATAATCTTTCTTCATAAATCTTGGCCAAAATGTATTCTGTTCTCTTTTTAGTAAAAAAAAAAAAAAAAAATAACCCAAATTAGTTTATAAACAAAAATTATAATTTTTAAACTTTTTTTTTACATTTTAATTTTTTTTTTTATATTATTATTTATGTTTTTGGTTTTTTTTACATACTGTCACCCTAGCAGTACAGGGTCACCATGGTAACACTGTACTACTTGTGGTTTTTTTTTTTTTTTTTACACTGATTGCTTTTACACTCATAAAGGCTGTAAAAGCAATCATTTCTCCTTCTCTCTGTCTGCATTCCTGCAGCCATTGAGAACTACTGAGTGAGCTGTGATTGGTCACATCTTGTCACATGGTACAAGGCTGTTGTGAATAGCCCTGTACCATGTGATCCCTGTGATCATTCACAGATTTCACACGTAGTAAGCAATGATGTCAGAAGTGACATCTTGCTTACTACTCTGCATGTGATCACTGATTGGCCAATCAGTGATCACATGATCGGGACCTCGCTGAGAGGTCCCGTTTAACGATCGGTGTTCCATTGTGTCCGGAGGACACAGCGGGCACCGGATCGGGAGGGCGCACAAGCAGGGGGCGGGGAGGCCGTTTATAAACACCACCCGCCCCTGCACTGCTCCCGTCTGGCCGTTTATATACATGGGCCGGACGGAAGTGGTTAAATATCAGGGACTAATGCCTTCTATACATGGGTCAAAACTCGACCGATTTTTCGCCTGAAAATCAGATATAGGAATAATCACCCGATTTTTGCTCTGTTAGTGGGTCAATGGCACCGACCGATCTTCATGGTTCCTCCCCTTTTCGGTGATCGGGCATGTTGGAAAATTCGTGAAAAATTACCGATTTTCGACTCAAATCGTACGATCGTTTTTACGAAAAGAATATGCGCATGAACCGTGACCTGGAAGGAACAGAAGTTTCGCCTGTTATATGGGATGAACTTTATGACTTGGTTGGCCGATTTTCGAAATCATTGATGGCGCCATCGGATTACCGAGCCAACGACGTTTTCGATTTTCGAACGAAAAATCGACCCATGTATGGCCTGCATAAAACATTGAACTAGGCAGCACAGTGGCTAAATGTGATGTAGGAGATGGCCTCAGTCACTGCTCTGGCCACGCCCCCCCTGATGTGTTTCATTCTGCCCACCGGAGGGCACGGTCAGAGCAGTGACTGAGGCCATCTCCTACATCAGACTCATGGTCTGGTTTGAGCGGCGTCCGTTTCTTCATTGAATTATGAACAATACGGCCAAAAAAATTAAATATCATGAAAAATGGAAACATTTTCGGACACTGCTTCTTCTTTCCATATACCGTCAGGGTGATTTATTTTCTTGCTTTCCGGCTTGGAGCAGCGAAACAAGCCAACTATGCTGATCATATTGTCCATAATATTTCATGTTTTTGTTTTTTTTGGCTCTATTGTCCATAATATTTCATGTTTTTGTAGCCATTTTGTCCATAACATTTTATGTTTTTTGTGTCCGTATTGTCTGTAATTTTTTTTTTCTTAAATGCTTTATTGCCATATGCAAATATTTATACATCAGACAATAAGTAGTCCATGTTATTTAATTTTTTTTTTGTGCCCATATTGTCCATTATATTTCATGTTTTTGTAGCCATTTTGTCCATAATATTGTATGTTTTTTGTGTCCGTATTGTCCATGTTATAATTTTTTCTTTTTTTAAACACTTTATTGCCATATGCAAATATTTATACATCAGACAATAAGTAGTCCATGTTATTTAATTTTTTTTTGTGCTTGTATTGTCCATAACATTTCATGTTTTTGTTGCCATTTTGTCCATAATATTTTATATATTTTGTGTCCGTATTGTCCACATTATTTAATTTTTTTGTGTGCTTGTATTGTCCATAATAATTTTTTTTTTTTGTAGCCATTTTGTCCATAACATTTTATATGTTTTCTGCCAGTATTGTCCATGTTATTTATTTTTTTTTGTGCTTGTATTGTCCATAATATTTCATGTTCTTGTAGCCATTTTGTCCATAATATTTTATGTTTTTTGTGTCCGTATTGTCTATGTTATTATTATTATTTTTTTAAAAAAGCTTTATTGCCATATGCAAATATTTATATACATCAGACAATAAGTAGTCCATGTTATTTAATTTTTTTTTTGTGCTTGTATTGTCTATCATATTTCATGTTTTTGTAGCCATTTTGTCCATAATATTTTATAGATTTTCTGTCCATATTGTCCATGTTATTTAATTTTTTGTGCTTGTATTGTCCATAATATTTCATGCATGTTTTTTTTTTTTTTGGCTCTATTTTCCATAATATTTCATATATATTGTAACCATTTTGTCACTGTGGGGTGAATTGTTTTAAATCCACGTTTTTCCATGATGGTGTGGAGGCGCAGTAGAGGTATACTTTATCTTGATGGTTCTCTGGAACATTGTCATTATGTTGAAGTGCTCTGATTCACATTTTTTTAGTTCTATAAGAATAAAATGTACATTACTGCAGACAAAAGCTGTGGTGTGACCTTCCATAATGCTCATGATTTTTTTTTTTTTTTTTGATGCAGAAGGTGAATATCAGACAGCTACATTCTGCTTATTAATGCTTTTTCTTTTGTGTGACACTGAAACAATTATTTTATGTGTTCATTCAAAAATTCAAAAGCCAGAATGGCAGGCTATCTTTTTTTTGCACGCATTTACCCCTTTGCGGTGCAGGTCAAGGTGCAGGGGATATTTCTGGTAGCGCACTTCACCACAACGCCACGATGCGAATATGAAAACCAGATTTAAAACACAAAAACCTGCGCTTAGATATAGCCACGCTACAAATGCAAAAAAACAAAACAAAAAAGTAAAATAGAAAAGCAGCTTGCACACAAAAGGCGATATTACAAAAATGAGCAAAAGAAATGCTAATTAAATTGCATAGAAATGTCAGAAGTAAAAATCCATATATGTCCTCAAGTGTATATAACAAGTTGCAGAAGATTCTGATGTCATAGGCCGTCACCATACACCCGAAATAATGAGCCCCTTAGTGGACATGTAGACTGTATAACACCGGTCCAGGGGCAGACTGACGACTCATGGGGCCCCTGGACAATAGGGGATCATGGGGCCCCTGTGTCCTTGCCCAAACTCAAAACAGCCTATGAAAAAAGGTACCAGGGGCATCTCATGGGGCCCCCTATTGACCCCGGGCCCTCAGGCAGTGCCCGAGTTTCCAAATGGTCAGTTCGCCCCTGCACCGGTCAATATACGCAGTGTGATAAGGAATCCCAGTATGGCAATAGAAATCCCCTCCCAGATAAAGGATGGTTCACCCCCCCTCTTTAACTTTCCCCCCCTTCCAGTCCGGACACTTTCCCCCTTTTCCAGTCCGGACACTTTTCACCCCCTTCCAGTCCTTTCCAGTCCGGACACTTTCACCCCCTTCCAGTCCAGACACTTTCCCCCCCTTCCAGTCCGGGACACTCCCCCCTTCACTTTTCCCCCTTCCCCTTCCAGTCCGGACACTTTCCCCCCCTTCCAGTCACCCCCTTCCGGACACTTTCACCCCCTTCCAGTCCGGACACTTTCACCCCCTTCCAGTCTGGACACTTTCCCCTCTTCCAGTCCGGACACTTTCCCCCCCTTCCCGGACATTTTCCCCCCTTCCAGTCCGGACACTTTCCCCCCCTTCCAGTCCGGAACCCCCCTTTCCCCACTTTCCCCCTTCCAGTCCGGACACTTTCCCCCTTTTCCAGTCCGGACACTTTCCCCCCCTTCCAGTCGGACCCTTTCTTTCACCCCTTCCAGTCCGGACACTTTCCACACCCCTTCCAGTCTGGACACTTTGCCCCCCTTCCAGTCCGGACACTTTCCCCCCTTCCCGGACACTTCACCCCATTCCGGACACTTTCCCCCCCTTTTCCTGGACCCACCCTCCAGTCCAGCCTTCCGGACACTTTTCACCCCTTCCAGTCCGGACACTTGGACACTTTCACCCCCCCGGACCTTCACCCCTTCCAGTCTGGACACTTTCACCCCCCTTCCAGTCCGGACACTTTCACCCCCACCCCCCTTCCAGTCCGGACACTTTCACCCCCTTCCTGTCCAGGCCAATTTTCAGCTTTCAGCGCTATCACACTTTGAATGACAATTGTGCGGTCATGCAACACTGTACCCATATGAATTTTTTAGCATTTTTTTGAGACAGATAAAACTTTATTTTGGTGGTATTTATTCACCACTGGGATTTTTATTTTTTTTTTGCTATATAAATGAAAAGTCCAGAATTTTTTTTAAAAAAAAAAAGCGTTTTTCTTACAACATTTTGCAAATAAATAATCTTTCTTCATAAATCTTGGCCAAAATGTATTCAGTTATCTTTTTAGTAAAAAAAAAAAATAACCCAAATTAGTTTATAACCAAAAAATTATAATTTTTTAAACATTTTTTTTTACATTTTTATTTTATTTTTTTATATTGTTATTTATTATTTTTTTGTTTTTTTAACATACTGTCACCCTAGCAGTACAGTGTCACTCTACTACTTATGGGGGGTGATGAAGATTTTTTTTTTTTTTACACTGATTGCTTTTACACTCATAAAGGCTGGAAAAGCAATAATTTCTCCTTCGCTCTGGCTGCATTCTTGCAGCCATTGAGAAATACTGTGAGAGCTGTGATTGGTCAAAGCTTGTCACATGGTACAAGGCTGTTGTGAATAGCCCTGTACCATGTGCTCTCTGTGATCATTCACAGATTTCGCAGGTAGCAAGCAATGATGTCAGGAAGTGACATCTTGCTTATACCTATTGATGTGATCACTGATTGGGCAATCAGTGATCACATGATCGGGACCTCACACAGAGGTCCTGTACAGGGATCGGTGTTCCGCTGTGTCTGGAGGACACAACGGGCATCGGATTGTGGTGCTGCATGCTCCCAGGAAGCGCACAAAATCCAAAATGGCGTGTGCCGTTTATGAACGGCAACCTGCACTGCTACCGTCCGGCTGTTTATATACAAATATAAGGAAGTGGTTAAAGATCTCCAAAACTTGAAGAAACTTCCATCCGATATTCAGATAAGGAATAAAGAACAAAGGCAACTCATAGTGCACTAATTCAATAAAGTTTTGGCAGATTTATTAAAAGATCCAGCATTGAATAGGAATTGTTTCAAACCAAAAATATGGCCGCCGTTCCTCCAGAATGTGGTGACGTCACACGCCGAAACCAGATTGCTAAAATCCCAAATAAGCTTTAACAAGTTAATGCTGTTTCAAAATGTGTATTTGCGAATGTTTAAATCTGCAGCTTTCCCTAAAATGATCCCTGGTATTCCTGTCCTGCGGGTCCTCGTGCAAGCACTTCCTGTTATGGTGTGACAACACTCTGTACTAGTCTCTCAGTTGTGTTTCTGGGTTGTCACCCAGTCACACGGGCTTCTGATGGACACTACATTAAATTAATGAGGAGCTTCTTTATATTTATTCATTTTTTTAAGTCAGCAGGTACAAATAATGTAGCTGCTGAAAATCAGGTCTATACCAGTGTCTGGGGACCAGTGCTGTCTTCCCATAGCTGGTTCTTCTCACTGCTGCAGATCCCCACAGAGATGGACGCAGTTCAACCATTTTGGCTCCAATCTCCATCTTGGCAAAGGATCCTCCTTCTTGTACAAACATATCCCCCTCATTCTCGTTCTTCTTCTCTGTTCAGCCACAGTGACATATGGCCTGTGTGTTGGCTGTGTCACAGGAGGCCAGAGCCCAGCAGGGAACTCCGAGCTACAAAACCCCCAAGGGAGCTGGGGGTCTCGCTGTCCAAAGAACCTGTGCAATCTGGCACCTCGTAAAAAGATAACCCAAGCCTTCCCCTGAGTTCAAAGACATTCCAGAGGAGTAGAGACTAGATAACACTTTTAAAATCCATTTTTCCCCATGTCTCATATCTTGGAATACGAGAGACTTACATAAAAAGCAGGTATATCTTCAGATTGGCCACAAGAAGACAAACAGTTTGATAGTTCACACTCCCTGACTGGAATACCTAGGACAGCAGAAAATTACATCTCTTGAACCCTTCAAATATGTATTTCATATTTTATATGTAACCATTCCTCAGATGTGTCTGCATAGTAATCTACCCGCGGGTGGAATGGCACTTGTGTCTAGGAAAAGTTATGAGCCAAAATATGAGTTATGAGAGATTTTGGTTCTAGTTTGGGTCTCCGCCCAGACGATCCCTCCCTAAATGAGGCATTGGTCCTTGACTTCAGAGACACCCCCTGCTGGGGGACTACAAAATAGGCTGTCAGGCCTAAGAGAGCTAAGTTGAAGAATTCTCACTTTTAACATCAGAACCAACTTGGGAGACCAGTGCCCTTTTGCTCTGAAACTTGATCTGCTTAGCCCAGGACTTTGGCAACTACTTTAACCCTCTAACTTCTCTCTGTTATCTCTTTGCTGTGCTGTTGTTCTCTGTATTTTTATATATATATTGGTTACATCTTTTTTCTGTAAATATTTATTTTGCACCCATTTAACCTTTTAGTAATAAATCCTTCTTTCTGAAAGTGTTGAACTGTTTCTAAAGCTCCTTAATGCAATTTACGAAACCCTGTCTCTAAAAGAGCACTACTGTGTTTGTTTAACCCTCTGTATAACATGTCTGTGGTGACAGTGCTATACAGACGATTCTCTCAACCATTATAGTGTTATTGCTGAAATTGCCGAGTTTCCTCTTTCTCTGTACAAAAAGGAGGTGGTGGCAGTGTGAAGTGTTAATTGCGTAATTAACCTGACCCAGTAACAATCGCTCCCAGGCTGCCGGTACATCGATTTGTGGTCCATTAGCTGGAAAATCGTTGTGCAGGGTGCAGCTGGGCATGGCATTGTTACGCACGTGACATCGCGGTTTTAGAATGGCTAGTTCTTCGGTCACGAGTTTGGTGAGAAGGGCTGGAGTCTTAGCCTCGCTTGTCACACCCAGTGCCACCATCTTGGATAAAGGAGCTGGCTGTGTCTACCTGGGGAACTCCATCCGACTCCCCACTGCACAGCGCTTTTTGAAGGGTCCCATAGCCTCTGGGGACATGCGACGGGTCATCCTTGCCTAGGAGAGGATTGTGAAAGTAAGAGCGCGAGTACCGATTAAAAGTCGATACTCATCCCCCCCCCAAAAAAAAAAAAAGGCTGGGGGTAGAGAGTGAACCAGTGCAACTTCACTTTTTGAGTGAAATTCTGCTTCCAGTAGGCATGGTCCACTTGCAAGAGGGGCTTTGTGGTTGGGTAGTTCTGATGCCAGGAGCACAAATTCCAACCCCCCACTCTAGCCCTGCTGGAACAATGTCCCTCCGGCTGAGGCTGGACCCACCACCATCTTGTTTCCTGCTCCTTTCCATAGGCCACCATACGACATTCCTGGTCTTGGAACTTTGTATCCCCAAGGAGGGAATGTCCACACAAGAAGTAGTTTTTCTGCACTTTACTTGTGATATTCAGAGAATGGCATAACCGTCACATCACAAGGACATACATTCTGGAGCCACTTGACATCACACAGTCAATCACATTTAGTGGACGGTCCGCAGTAGTCACCAGTGAAAGCATTGTAGAACCGCGATATCCCTTAGATAGTGTTTGTTCTGCCCAGAGTCATTAGTACTCACAGGACTGTGCTCTCTCTCGTTACTCCTGGGACCCTCCAGGGAATCTCCAGCCTGGCCTAAAAGGCCTTTTGCAATCCACCCTAGCCCTCACCTCCATAAGGTACAGAATGACTACAGCCAGCATACAGGTCCTCCACTCCACCCGGCCCCCTGCCCTGTCCAAAGCTTACGTATGCTGGCCCCATAGGCGTGAGGTGTTTAGCTTCTATGCCCCAGCAGTGTGTGCTCCTCCCCTCATAGCTTATATGTGGGTGCTGACTCACCCCTGACATCACTGTGCTAGAGCTCCACCCAAAAGAGGCCTAACACCTGGTGTCACTACCTGCTGTACCAGATACTATTTTAATACAGAGCCACCTAGTGGTGAAGTAGCTAACTGCACCTGGGTACACTCCACTGTCACCATCAGGATACCATGTCCTGAGAAATGCCATACAGCTACCATTGGGGAGCATGTAGACAGCAAATGACTTCAGGAGATCAACAGAAATGAGATGCAATGGAGGAAGAAATACACTATATTGCCAGAAGTATTGGTTGGCCGACCTTTCCACACACATGACCTTTAATGGCCCCCCAGTTTTAGTCCGTAGGGTTCAATATTGAGTTGGCCCCGCCCGTTGCAGCTATAACAGCTTCAACTCTTCTGGCAAGCCGTCCACAAGGTTTAGGAGGGTGTCTATGGGAAGGTTGGACCATTCTTCCAGAAGCACATTTGTCAGGTCAGGCACTGATGTCGGGGGAGGAGGCCTGGCTCACAGTCTCCACTCTAATTCATCCCAAAGGTGTTCTATGGGGTTGAGGTCAGGACTCTGTGCAGGCCAGTCAAGTTCCTCCACCCCAAACTGGCTCCTCCATGTCTTTATGGACCTTGCTTTGTGTAGTGGTGTGCAGTCATGTTGGAACAGGAAGGGGCCATCCCCAAACTCTTCCCACAAAGTTGGGAGCATGAAATTGCCCAAAATGTCTTGGTATGCTGACTATTCAAGAGTTCCCTTCACTGGAACTAGGGGGCCAAGCCCAACGCCTGAAACAATCCCACACCATAATCCCCCCTCCACCAAACTTTACACTTGGCACAATGTAGTCAGGCAAGTACTGTTCTACTGGCAGCTGCCAAACGCAGACACATCCATTGGATTGCCAGACAGAGAAGCGTGATTGGTCACTCCAGAGAACATGTCCCCCCTGCTCTAGAGTCCAGTGGCGGCATGCTTTACACCACAGCATCCAACGCTTTGCATTGCACTTGGTGATGGAAGGCTTGGATGCAGCTGCTCGGCCATGGAAACCCAATACATGAAGCTCTCTACGCACTGTTGGGCTCATCTGAAAGCCACACCAAGTTTGGAGGTCTTTAGCTATTGACTCTGCAGACAGTTGGTGACTTCTGTGCACTGTGCGCTTCAGCATGTGCTGACCCCGCTCTGTCATGTGACGTGGCCTACCACTTGGTGGCTGAGTTGCTGTTGTTTCCCACTTTGTTATAATCCCACTAACAGTTGAGCGTGGAATATTTAGTAGCCAGGAAATGTCACGGATGGACTTATTGCACAGGTGGCCACCTATCACGGGACCACGCTTGGAGTCACTGAGCTCCTGAGAGCGACCCATTCTTTCCCCAATGTTTGTAGAAGCAGTCTGCATGCCTAGGGGCTGGATTGTATACACCTGTGTCCATGGAGGGGATTGGAACACCTGAATCCCATGATTTGGAGGGCGGGCCCAATACTTTTGGCAATATTGTGTAAACATGGAAACCAGCTTTTATTTTCTTAACAAAAAGGCTATTATATATATATTTGTTTTTTAGTGCTTTGGTTGCTTCTGAAACTCCACCACAAATTGTTAATATTGAGTTCCGTAGGTCTAACGAAGCCACTAATGAATGGTAGAGGAGACGGGCGACGAGTCTGCTCTGCTGCTTCTAGTTGATGAAATAACTCATCAGTGACTGAAATCGAGCAGATGGTTTGGTTAGGCCGAGAGATAATAATTACATTATAAACTTGGGCAGAGTACCAGCTCATTGAAAAGGGCAGACAAAGCGCTTTATTGACGATGATCCGATGAATTGGCAGAACATTCCGCGGCCCAGATGGAGGAGGAGGTTCTGCCGGAGAGAGGAGTCGAGGAATCACTGTAGTGTGAGAGATCCGTCTGATAGGAGGAACTTTTTGTTGTTGTTGTAGGAGAGTAAAGACCCTCATAGATCAGAACCCGGGGAAGAAAGTGATACTTTGTAACCATTTATCAGAGATATCATTGATAAGAACCCGGGGAAGAAAGTGATACTTTGTAATCATTTATCAG